TCCAGCCCAGCTGTACCCTCTTGAATTGAATGGAAGAAACAGACTGACTCCACCTTATCTTTGAGCACAGGTAAGACTGAAAGATACATTAAAATATAACCCAGGTGTGATGATGCAAGTCTGTAATCCCAAGAGTTGGAGGCAGGAGGATTGAAAGTTCAAGGCCAAACTGGGCAATTTAGGGAGAACCTATCTAGAAACAAAATAAACAGAGCCAGGCATAGCTCAGTAGTAGACGATGACACCTTGCCTCACATGCACTCTGAAACCCTGGGTTTAATCCCCAGTACCACAAAACAAACATCACAGAGACATCTAGAATAGTACTTGGCACATGAATGAATTCATAAAGCCAGTGTTATAAATAAAAGAGCTGTGGACATTTGGGGCATTTTTACCCAATGAGAAAAGATGCCAGGCCCTGCTGGGTGTGAAAGGGTGGTGACACCTCTGCTCTAATTTTCAGAATGTAACAAACTTATTTGGCCAAGTGGCCTCCCACCATTAACTTTGGTGTCACAGTAGGTATGGTCTCAGTAGCAACAGAGTCTCCCAAACAAAGGCAGGTGTCCCCTCTCACCACTCCACTCCCTGCACACACAGCTGCTGGGTAAACAGCTGTCTCTTGGCAGTTTCCAGAACGCCATTTGCTAATGAAAAACAAAACACAAAACCCTTGGGGACTAGCACACAAAAGAAGAGTGAGCTCCCTGTCATCAAACTAAAGATCCAACTGTCCCTCTTTTTAGAAAAATATTCTTCCTGGCATCGATTTTCTCACTAGAGGAAAGATGATGTACAGAAAATGAAGAGGGAAAGAAAAGGCACAAAGTTTGGAGAATGCATAAATGCAGGATTTATGCTTAGGTCTGTGCCTGGGGACTTGGGTCACTCCTGTCTGCACAGCCAGCAGGCTCCCTGGAGCCATATGACTGCTGGGTTTATAAAACTGGCCTGCCTCTTCCTCTTCCTGCATCTTCTGTAGCAGTGACCAATAGCAATACTCCATGTGCCCAGATGGTTTAATGCAGGACTATATGAGCCTTAAAAGAAAAATAAATTGGACAGCAAAGAGACCACATTGGTTCTTCCTGTCCTTTTCTAGCATTTTGCTCTTTCCCACAAAGTAACAAGAGTGAGACCTGTGTCCACAGCAGCTCTTCTCTCACTTTCTTGGAAGCCCATTTTGGCTTTGGAAGCCCATAAAGCAAGCAGACTGGAAATTTTTCCGTTGGGGGAAAGATGTTTCTTCTGTCTTCACCGCCCTCTGGGACTCTATTGGAGGCCTGAAAGCTGCCCTGACAACTCTTCTCTATTGATCTGATCCCAGGATCCCAAATTGGATAGTAATTAACAATACTATTCAAAACAAGAGTACCCACAAACACCCCTGGTTCATCCATCACTTGGTATCAAATAAGATTCTTCTCCAATTTTGCTCCTCAAAATGTTCTCATGGATTTTTTGTTTGTTTGTTTGTTTGTTTGTTTTGTTTTCCCCTATTGTTTTTGGGGCACTAAACCCAAGGGTGTCACACACACATGAATGGTTTTGTCCAAATTCCAGCTGAATGTCCAAATTCCTGTAAGGACATAATTAAAAACCTTGAAATTATTCCTGTCCAGGGATGCAGGTCAGGTATGATGACCCAGGAGAAAAACACAGAATGGAGTCTACTGCATCCTGAGTTACGTGACAGGCAGCACTACCTAGTGGGYGCAGGATGGGGACACCGGTGACACAGAGGACTAATCCACATAACAGTGTCAAGGCTCAGAAGAACAGTTGGTGCTTTGGCATGCTGGGGACTCTGAATAGAGGATGGCCTCAGAGGCAGAGTCTTTCCTTCTCCAGTTCTACTTTTTCCAAAGCAGACCTAAGGATTCCTTTTCTTCAAGGTGGGTCACAGAGATTAGACCTCTTTCTTCCAAAGACAACTATAAAACCTAGAAATATTCCTCTAACCTTCCCCTACCTTACTGTGTTTTAACATCTGGCCATAATGAAATTTTCTGACCTATTTTGTCTGATAGTAGATCATAAGACTCTCATTCCAGAGCGGTCCTTACCTACATATGTGAGGAAAGAACGCTGCACAGAGAAGCCAAGGTATCTGAACAAACGGGCCTTGCTGGGATTCCCCCATCCGTCCATCACCATCAGGTCATAGCTTTTTGCCCAGTCTCATTCCTACGTGGCTGTCCCTTCTTCGTTCGATCTGAGCATTACAACAAGCAGTTCTCCCTGGATCTCTCTCTCTCTCTTTTTTAAAGACCTACCTGGTTCTCTGGCCTATTCTTTTTAAATATCCATAGTTGTAGATGGATACAATACCTTTATTTATTTATTTATTCATAGTTGTATTGGACACAATACCTTTATTTTATTGATTTATTTTTATGTGGTACTGAGAATTGAACCCAGTGCCTCACACATGCTAGGCAAGCGCTCWACTACTGAGCCACAGCCACAGCCTTCCCTGGATCTTTTGGATCATTTTTTAAATAAAATTTTTTTAATATTTATCTTTTAGTTGTAGTTGGACACAATATCTTTATTTTTATGTAGTGCTGAGGATTGAACCCAGGGCCTCACATGTGCTAGCTAGCCAAGCGCTCTACTGCTGAGCTACAACCCCAGCCCCTCTTTTGGATCATTTTTGAAGGCTTCCAAGTCATGCAAAACTTTGATTAAATAAATCTGTTATGCTTTTCTCTTGTTACTTTGTTTGTTTGTTTTTGTACTGGGGATTGAATCCAGGGGTGCTTTACCACTGATGTATATCTCCAGCACTGAGCCCCTCCCCCTTTTAAGACAGGGTCTTGCTAAATTACTGAGGCTGTCCTTAAACTAGCAATTCTCCTTCCTCAGTCTCCAGAGTAGCCAGGATTACAGGTGTGTACCAACATCTGTCTTTTTTTTTTTTTAATTTTTTTTTTTTTTTAAGAAAGTGAGAGAGGGAGCTGGGGATGTGGCTCAAGTGGTACCGCACTCGCCTGGCATGTGTGAGGCCCGGGTTCGATCCTCAGCACCACATACAAACAAAGATGTTGTGTTGTTGTGTCCGCCAAAAACTAAAAAAAAAAACTAAAAATATTAAAATTAAAAAAAAAAGTGAGAGAGAGAGAAAATTTTTTTTAATATTTATTTTTTAGTTCTCGGTGGACACAACATCTTTGTTGGTATGTGGTGCTGAGGATCGAACCTGGGCCTCACACATGCCAGGCGAGCGCGCTACCGCTTGAGCCACATCCCCAGCCCAACAACATCTGTCTTTTGTTACAGGTATTTCAATAATGACCGTTATGATAGGAAGGAAATTGTCTGTCTCTATATCAGTATTCAGCAATGCTTGGTGGGCCCAGATAGTGGCATCATGGCTGCCTCTGACTTAGCATAAGCCCTCTCTTATTTTACTCCCAGGTCTAGATCCCCACTGCATCCTACTCCCTTGATGCAATAGACTCTATGCTTACCCTTTGAAAGAGGGGTGGGGGGTGGGAGAACCAGAGAATGTAACCACTAATTAAAACCAGAAAAACCCAGGACACAGAACTGAAAAGAGTTTTTCATCCAGCCTGTCTGAAAGACCCCTTCCCTGTGAGGATTTTGGCTTGGCTACTTGGCTCACTGCTCTCAGAGCCAGAAAACTATTTTCTTCACTCACTCCTTCATGTAAAAGAAGATAAAATGTGCATATATGGTTTTGCAATGAGTGCTTTTTGTTGTAGTTGCTACTTTTAAGGAAAAAAAGTGGGAGTGGGGAGGAGGCAGACAGAACAGAGATGAGAAGCCAAGGTTTAGCTGCACTGATCAGGAATGGTGGTGCACACCTGTAATCTTAGCTACTTGGGAGGCTGAGGCAGAAGGACCACAAGCTCAAGGCCAGCCTGAGCAACTTAGCAAGACTGTGTCTCAAAATAAAAAATAAAAAGCTCAATGGTAAAGGGCCCCTGGGTTAACCCCAGTACAGCAAACATAAACAAACAAATAATTTTAAAATACAAACAAAAATTAGCTGCACTGGCCTGTAGCTGCTTCAGCTGTCCTTGGAGAGATGACACCCAGCATCAGGTGTCATCCCCTGTTCTCTTGCCCTGGGGGACTGAAACAATTTTTTATTTACTGCTCCTCCTCCTCAGATGGAAGGAGGAAGAAGATTTATGGACTAAGATAGAGGGGTTCCTTGGAATCAAAACTCAGGGCTGGAACAACTGGTGGTTTGTCAACAACATTCCATCAAATGGACCTCACAAGCCCATATAAATACAACCCACATAAATACTAGGCTATATGATTGGTTGCGGCATTGTTACCTTAGTCTAGTGGCCAGTATCAGTGACCACTCACTGGTGCAGTCTTGGTTTCTCAAATGAGAAGCTATTTTACACAGGCAAAATGCTGCCGTCTGTTTTCTAACAAAGAATGGGAAGGTGGAAGCTTGTGGGAGGGATTGTGTCCAGAGCACCACCTCTTTCTTTTCCCCAGCAGTTAAGAACCCAAAACCTGCTAGACCCTGAATCCAAACGACCACACCATGCAGTACAGCAGGACACTCCAAGTCAGTAGTTTAGTTAGAAGAGAGAGGGCGGGGGAAGGGGGAGAGAAGCCAGATTCGACAGATCCTTCTTCCCTAAGCTCTCCTTTGAAGCGTAGACGGGAGCCCCTGCCTTCTGACTGCAGCTCTGGCGGCCCACAGCATCACTTTTCTAAGTAGAAAGTTCCTTCCTCCAGGAACCGTGTAGGAACTTTTAAAGAGCTGCGGAAAGGAGGCATCCTGGAGCTAGGCACACCCTGGGGGCTGACGCTTCAGTGTCCTAACAGGAGGAACGGTCTCCAGAGTGTTTCAGCAAGCCAGCCCTCCTCCAGTCACATGACTGGCTCCCTCACCCCCTAACTCCTGTTCTCTCTGGGTTGTGTCTCATCCCTGTGGCAGGGGATCGCATACCGGTCCCTGCAGCTTGCGCGGGACGCCGCTCCTTTCGGGGCCCTGCACTCACCCACCGCCCTGATGTGGAAGCCGCGAGGTGGGCGCAGCGCTCGGCGACGCCAGGCATCGCGCAGCACCTGCAGGCTGGAGGGGGGTGCATGCACCAGCAACACTCCGCGCCGTAGCCAGCCCAGGAAGGCCAGCCGCGAGGCGGCGCGCGCCAGCCTCGCGTTCCAGAAGCAGCGCGTGTTGGCTCGGCGGAAGGCACGGAACACCGCGCGCCCACCCGGCTCCTCCGCAGTCCCGGCTTCCTCCTGCGCCTCAAGCCTGCACAGAACTAGCGCCAGCGAGCCCGGCGCCAGCTGCACCGGCCTGGCCATGCTGCCGCGCACGACTGAAAACCCGCTGCCTAGCCCAGCGGCCGACTGCACTGGCAGCTCGGGCGCTGAACGCCCGGCGGAAGGGATCGACTGACTGCGCGCTGCCCGGGCTGCCCGGGGAACGGGCTGCAGGGGGCGGGGCCGACAAGCCAGGGGTGGGACGGCCACTGCTCCAGCCGGCGCAGGGCCGCAGAGGGGTTTCCAAGAGCTGAGCTTCGGTCTCTACACCTACGCCTGGGTTCTGATCGCCGCCCCGGCGACCCCCTTCATTTCCCAGCCTCAGGCAGCCCGGAGAAACTTCCCTATGCTCGAAGGGCCCGCGCTGGAGCTTTTCTAAATCCTGGGGGAGCTCCCACAGTCCCCTGGATAGCTGAGCTGTCGCCAACGGCAGCGCGAGCTGTAGCACTAAAGTCCCGAAGCAGAGAGGATCAGGGTTGTCCCTGTCACCTTGGTTTTGGGGATGCTCTGTGAGGACCGGAGCTGGGGATCGTGGACTTCTCTGTGGCCAGGAGTCAAGAGACCCAGGTTTGAGTCTCAAATCTGCTCCTAAACTGTCTGCGCAAGTCATTTCGCTTCTCTAACTTTAGAATGTCCCCGGCAGCCTAGCCTAGGGTTCCTACCTGGATCCGGCTTGCCAGATTCCACCCCTCACTCGAATAAGAAATACTCAAAAAGATAAACTTTATGTATGCAGTTTGATCAAAGTGGAGAGAAGCAACTTGATTACTTTTCCCCATCAGCCCTCCAAAAGCAGTTCAATTTGTAGAAACAAAAAGCAGATGCTGTACCAGATAAGATTTAGTTATCCCAACTTAGAACGGGGCCAGGGGACAGATCTCGGCTCCCGGGCTTCTTTGGCTGTCAAGGCTAGGGATTGCAGTCCTTCAACTTCCTTTCTCAGCAGGAATTTTGTTCCCAGTTTGGGGTTGGGAGTGGGGGTTCCGTGTGGTTCAAGAACTGGAGAAACTCATTTTACAGGAAAGTGAACTGAAGATTTTTTTTTTTTTGGAACCGGGGATTGAACCTGGGGGTGCTTAATCTCTAAGCTATATCCCCAGCCCTTTAATTTTTTTTTTTTTTTTTTTTTTTTTTTTTAAAGACAGGTTGCTTACAGCCTCGCAGAGTTGCTGACTTCGAACCTGTGATCCTCTTGCCTCCTCTAGTGAGCAGCTGGGATTACAGGCGTGGGCCACAGTGCTAAACTGAGGATCCTTTTATCCATGACTTTCTGAAGTTCTAGAATCTGCTCCCGCCCCAGGGATTTCCCATACTCTTTGAGAAATGAGGAAAGCAAAGTGTTGAAGAGGTGCCATTTCGTTTGGTGAAGTGTAAGGTGAAATCCATGGGACTCAGCCCTGGATTGAACCTGGGGGTGTAGAGAAGACAGAGGCCATTCTGGGGCAGGATGAGGGGGAGAAGGAAGGAAAGCATGTGATCTGTCTAGGTAGACAATGTACCTTGCCTCAGAGCAGCCAGGGACAATTCAAATGCTAAGGGACAAAGCGGCTGGAACCCTGAGGGGCCTTGGATGAGGGTTCCTTGAGGAAAAGGAGCATTTGAAAATGACCTCAGTGGGAAGGAGAGAGGAAAGAAAACAAGCAAGCAAACTAGCTGAAAAAGGGAAAGGCAGGGCTTCCAGCTTAATACTATTACTCAGTATCATGAGGGAATAAAGATGCTTAGCAAGATCTGGGAGTCATTCCAGACTTTGGGCTCATCAGTCATCCTAACTATAATAATTCAGGTTAATCCATAGCCTGTTCTTAGTAAGCACACAACAAATGACAGATAATAACAATAGTATTAATTTCACAACTCTACCATCTGAAATTTTGTGAGCACCAACATGATGTCACAGGTGGAAAATTCCACACAGTGTTTAAATGACTCAGGCTATATGCATATGGTAAATGGAACAAATGAATTTTGTGTTTAGATTTGGGACCCGTCCAACATAGCTCATTGTGCATGTATACATATTCAAAAATCCAAAAAAAATCAGAACTCTAAATTGTTTTTGATCCTGAGCATTTTGGATATGGGATATTCAACCTACATTATTATCTGTTTTTCCACAGAAGAAATTGCAGCTCGTTGGATTAAGAAGTATATTCCAGTCACATGGGTGGTAAGAAATGAAGTCAGATAACCAGTTAAGTCAGGCTTCCCTACAAAAAAATCTGACTTCATTTTCAAATAAGCACATGAGGGCTTAGAGTTTATGTAGCTCAGTGATAGAATCCTGGACTAGCATGTGTGAGGCCCTGGATTCCATTCCCAGCACCACAAAAATAAATAAATAAGAACATGAACCTGACATAACCATCCGCATCTGAATTCTGATTCCAAGCTGGATAGATGGATAAATACGGAGGACAAATGTAATAATCTTCTTTGCCTGTGTAATCCCACTGGGGGATAATACTTTCTTCTCTGGTTCTGTCATGGTACTCACCTTACTGGATCAAGGGTGACCTTCCTGTGTTTCCCATGCTGGAGAACTGGGACTTCGATCTCCATATTGCTAACATTTAGGACAGTGTCTTTCTCACAACAAAGATGGTAACAATTTGTTTACTATTCATTCACTTTGTACCTGGACTCTGCTAGTGTTTTTACCTTTGTGATCTAATTTTATCTGCAAAATTAATTCTCTGAAAGAGTAATATTATTAAATCACATCTCCTGCAGCAAAATAAAAGGTCAGCAAGTATAGACAGCTGGTCCAGGAGGACAAAGCACTAAATGGTGAAGCAGTGATTCCAGTGTCTTCTCATTCACACACATGAGAAGGTGAGGCCAAAAGACCATCCCCTGACTCAATAGACCTGTGTTGCCTGGTGTAAAAAGTTGTTCTTAGTTTGATTACCTCTTCCAAGAATCTGAATTGAAAATACAGAGATGTATAGGATTTTTGCAAGGGGCTGCAGCTGAAAAGATGCTACAATGTAAAAGCTAGCTATTTCAGGATCTGAAATTATGGAAATTTTTGGTGCTGAGGATGGAACCCAAGGCCTCATAATGCTAAGCAAGCACACACCATTGAGGCCATATCCCCAGCCCTTGTCCTAAAATTATGAAGTAGAACTATCTTGAGCATTGGAATCCTTTGTTTAAATGTAAGAAATTCTTAACAATTTTGCTTAAGCTAGTCCAATTAGCAAACAATAATAATAATAATAATAATAATAATAATAAAGAATGTAAGGAGATAAATTTTTAAACTATAGCCAGATACTTTCCTACATTTCCCCCCAAAGAATTGGCTATTCCCCAAATATGCCCAAACTGCTAAAAAATAGAACATGTTGCAAAAATAGAAGCTTGGTGTCTTATGTTTATAATCTCAGCTATTTAGGAGGTTGAGACAGAAGGATCTCAAGTTTAAGGTCAACCAAGGCAATTTAGTGAGCCTCTGTTTCAAAACAAAAATAAAAAAGGGCTGAGGATGTAGCTCAGTGATGAGTACTTCCCTAATTTGTTCAAGGACCTGGATTTAATCCCCAGCATTGGGGAAAAAAAAAAAAAAGATTCTCAAAAACATATTTCAGGGCAGTAAGAGATTAATTCTTGTCCTTTTGAAAAATAGTATAACTCTCCAATTTATTCTCTCCAGAGTAAATAATTTATAACAATTTACTTCACTTTTTTTTTCCTTTCCTTGTTAGGCTTGAAATTTCTAGTAAGACAGATCTCTCTTAAAAAAAAGGAGATATCACTATATACATGACTTCTCCCATTATCATATATGTGTGTATGTATATGTGTGTGTGTGTGTGTGTGTGTGTGTGTGTGTGTATATATATATATATTTACTTTTTGTGCTGGGGAATTGAACTTAGAGGCACTTAACCACTGAGCCATATCCCCAGCACTTGTTTGTATTTTATTTAGAGAGAGGGTTAGGGCCTCAACTAAGTTGCTGAAGCTGGCTTTGAATTCGGGATCCTCCTGCCTCAGCCTCCCAAGCTGCTGGGATTATAGGTTTGTGCCACTGAGCCTGGCACCAATTACCATATTAAAAAAATTTTTTTAGTTGTTGATGTACCTTTACTTATTTAAATGCGGTACTGATAATTGAGCCCACTGCCTCACACATGCTAGGCAAGTGCTGTACTACTGAGTTACAGCTCCAGCCTCCATTATCATAGTTTTGATGAAGATTTATTTAGCTCATCCAAGTTGCCATTGATTTTAAGTAGTACAGCAGTTTTTCAAGGTACAGGATCTGTACAGAACTTTTGGCCTTGAAGATTAAGATGGCTTGTCCTAGAAAAAAATGGGAAGCTAGTACCTTTGAATTGAGGTGACACTACTGGAGCTTCCTTTCCCCAAAGTGCCCAAGATGGAGGGACACTTGCCTGTACTTACAGAGACTCCGAAACACCTCAATGCAGGAAGGACAACTGGGGAGGCCTCTCTGAGCCAACACAAATCTAATGAGCTGGATGATTGGAGGAAATAAAGGAGTAGCTCTCAACATCAGTAGTGTGGCAGCAGGTACCAAGGTAACTATAATGAGCACCCCAAGAAAAAGATTGGGCTCCTTTTCCCCATTTCCTGAGTACCGTGTAAATTTCCCTCACCCTAAGATTCTTGGAAAACTCAAGATTGCCCCCAACTACTACCTCATACAAAGTTCAAATTTTTTTTAAATGTTGATGGACCTTTTTATTTTTATTCATTTTTGTTATTTATATGTGGTGCTTTTTAAAAAAATATTTATTTTTAGTATTCAGCAGATACAACATCTTTGTTTGTATGTGGTGCTGAGAATCGAACCCAGGGCCTCACACATGCTAGGCAAGTGCTCTACCACTGAGCCACAACTCCAGTCCCCAAAATTCAATTTTTGGCCATTCACACAAACAAAACAGAGTTAGATTTTATTTGATTGAGAAGCCAGGTGTGGTGGCACAAGCATGTAATCCCAGCAGCCTGGGAGGCTGAGGCAGGAGGATCGTGAATTCAAAGCCAGCCACAGCAACTTGTGAGCCCCT